TGGGGTTTTTAAATAAAAGAAATTATCCCAAGGTGGCTATCAGGCGAAAGAAGGGGGCTGAACACCTTTCGCAGAGATAACCTTTCTGAGTAGGAGGCCTTCGGCCACGCTTTAGGATTATAACCCTTACCAAATAGAATTCTCCTTTTGCAGGTCTATTCTGCGCTGGTAACGTAAATTTTGTAACCGGTCATTAAAGTGTCTGTCAATTTTTAAACCTTTTTCGCATTCTGTGCTCTCTTGTAACCGGTAAATTTGGTCACCATCTCATAAGCTGGTAACAAAATATTGCCCCGTGAAATATGCAATACAGGAATTCCCACAAATCTTCATAGCTGAATTGCTGAATATTTTCACTGCATTACTAACGTACCTAGAATCGCGGTGACAAGAAGTGGTAAGATTTTTTGGTAATAAAATTTTCCGGTCACAAAATCTTCGGTAACGTGCAAAATAGACCTGTTGGTGTGCACCAACTGGGGCTACCGCCCCAGTGATGTAGCCTTTGGAAAGGATAAGGTAACTAGAATTCCCTTTCTGTGTGGTAAACCTGGGGCTACCGCCCCAGTGATGTCTATTATTTATTAAATTAAATAAATTAAATTAAATTAAAGATTAAATAAATATTTGCCATGGAAAGGTTTATATTTGTAATGCTTACTGGGTTCCTGAGTACGGGAACACTCCTACTGCTTAGAGCCAGCCTTAGGAATTTTAACGTTTCCTAGCATTTTAAAAATTTTCTCTCGCGGTCCTTTCATTTGTTTATTTTGGTTTTCACTCAAACTAAAGACGTTTATTTCAGTCGAAACAATGGGTAGGTTCAGAAGGCGCAGCAGTTGAGCGCAACCGTTGCTTAAAAAATCAGTGATCGTTATGCGTCTTCTGAACGGCTTGATACATTAGCTGTCAAATTCAACTATCAAAAACATGTTGTCTCAAATGATCCGAAAAATATTACGATCATCTAACACGCAACTGTTCAGTTGATCAGAAGTATACAACAACGCGTTCAGAAGTTGCAATCGCAACAGTTACTGAGCTGTTGCGCCTTCTGAACGTGCCCAGTGGTATAATAATTACAGGTACCATAAGTCGAAACAACAAAATTTGAATGTACGTATGTAAATAAATAAATATAAACAATTGTTTTAATGAGCTCCTGCTCCCACGTTGAGACGCAGATTTTGGCATAGATTCAAAGATATTTTACCGTAAAGGACCGCACTTTTGCAAATAACGATGTTGTGCTTATGTTGGCAAATCTCTTTCTATAAGACCACCTGGATCTATTTTTTCCGTTTATACGTTAATTTGGGGAATTGGAGTAAACTGTACGTTGGCCTGTTTGCAGAGAAAAACGGTATTTGCGCAATCGCTAAAGTAGGCAATCATTTCTCCTTTTCTACCGTTATTAATTTTGTCCCATTTTGGATGAATACGAAATGCAAAAATGCTATTCCAAATTTGCAAGAGTTATAGGATGCATAGTTAGCAAATAAAGAGTTGCAAGAATCAACTCATGAATTCATGCCATAACTCGAGTGCAGCGCCGCTGTCGAGTTGAAACTAGTTGTGACGATCGTTAAGCAGTGGTTGGTAGTGTGACTGTGAGTTTCGTTTGTTCCCAGCAAACATCGCGGTTAGTTATCGATTAGAGAATGATGGGAGAACTAGCCACATTCTCCAATCTCAAACGTTAGAGATCGACTCGAAAAACTATCGAGAATCATAGCGATCTCAACAAAAATGGGACATAGTTCTCGACTCGAGGAAATTTTAATTCTCTAATCGAATTCTAATATTGATCTCTAATGGGATACGAATGTGAATTTCAAACTGCTGTTTATTAAATAAAACGCGTTGTTTATAAAATTTGTACTAAATGTATTTGCAATAAAATAATAATGAATTATTTGAAGTTAAAAATAATTTATGATTCATTAATTTGGAATATTTCTTATTTACATTTATTTGAATTTGCGTTGTTTCTCTAATCATTCTCGAATCGAATTCTAATGTAGTTCTTTAACTTCGTCATCGACTCGAGAACGATTAGAGAATTACCTTAGTTATCTTTCGACAATAAAATTTTCATTTAAAACGGCCTCGAGCTCAATATAAATTGTTGAATATAATTGTTATAAAGGCCAAAAAAATAACAAAAACAAATAACTTAAGGACAAGCACACCTAAAAAAGTTAAACATTCTAAACATAGCAAAAACCAACAATACCAACAACCACATGGTCAAGTGAATTGCAGCGGAATAGCTGCGCTTGATTGTGTTGGCATAACAAAAATGAAAATAGTGGAAAAAAGCAAACGATAATTTACAAGGCGGACTTAGCACGGTGTATAGGCAACTGGCTGAGTCAGTGGGATCGTCGGTTCGAATCCTACTGAAAGAAGTCTGATGAGGAAATGTGGTGATTTCCGAAATAGCTATCACTTCTACCATTTTTTCAAATTATTGTTGCTTTTCCACAATAAAATTTTCATTTAAAACGGCCTCGAGCTCAATATAAATTGTTTAATATAATTAGTCATCTAATGTAGAAATCGAAATTTCTCTAACATTAGAGACTGTGTTTGCTGGGTTTATGCGATGAATTAATAAGTTTACCCGCTAGTGAAAGACAAGGGGCACCGAAATTGCGCATAGGGAAACTGTGTATTTAGACATTATTTCGGTTTTCAACCGGAACTGTGCATGTATGCATTACTTCGTATTTTTTTCATATGCATTATATCGCTTTTAAATGGAAAGTATGCATATGCATAATTTCGGTATTTTCTCATATGCATTATTTCGGTTTTCAACCGAAACTGTGCATGTATGCATACTTTCGTCTTTCACATATGCATTATTTCGGTTTTCATCCGAAACTAAGCATGTATGCATTACTTCGTCTTTCACATATGCATTATTTCGAGTTTGAACCGAAATTGTGCATGCATGCATTATTTCGGTTTTAGTTATATCCATTATTTCGGTTTTCTAACGAAAGTGTGCATATGGATAATTTCGCGTTTTCTAATATGAATTAATTACTTCTACTTAGTAAGGCTTTTAATCCGAAAAGCCGCCTACGCAGAGAGAAGTTCTGCGCAGAAATACTTCCGCCCTTCTTTTCCGGCAACACAGAAAGGAGAGTTCTACTTAGTAAGGGTTATAATCCCTAAGCGCGGCCGAAGGCCGCCTACGTAGAAAGAAGTTCTGCCCAAAAATACTTCCGTCCCCTCTTTTCCAGCAACACAGAAAGGAGAGTTCTACTTTGTAAGGAATATAATCCCTAAGCGCGGCCGAAGGCGGCCTACGCAGAAAGAAGTTCTGCGCAAAAATACTTCCGGTCCCCTTTTCCGGCAACACAGAAAGGAGAATTCTACTTAGTAAGGGATATAATCTCTAAACGCGGCCGAAGGCCGCCTAAGCAGAGGGAAGTTCTACCCAAAAATACTTCCGTCGCCTCTTTTCCGGCAACACAGAAAGGAGAGTTCTACTTAGTAAGGGATATAATCCCTAAGCGCGGCCGAAGGCCGCCTACGCAGAGGGAAGTTCTACCCAAAAATACTTCCGTCGCCTCTTTTCCGGCAACACAGAAAAGAGAATTCTACTTAGTAGGGGATATAATTCCTAAGCGCGGCCGAAGGCCGCCTACGCAGAGGGAAGTTCTGCCCAAAAATACTTTCGGTTCCCTTTTCCGGCAACACAGAAAAGAGAATTCTACTTAGTAGGGGATATAATTCCTAAGCGCGGCCGAAGGCCGCCTACGCAGAGGGAAGTTCTGCCCAAAAATACTTTCGGTTCCCTTTTCCGGCAACACAGAAAAGAGAATTCTACTTAGTAGGGGATATAATTCCTAAGCGCGGCCGAAGGCCGCCTACGCAGAAAGAAGTTCGTTTTCATGTATGCACTGTTTCGGTTTTTGTCATATGCATTATTTCGGTAATGAGTCGAAACTGTGCATGTATGCATTAGTTCGGTTTTCAAACGAAAGTGTGCATGTATGCATTATTTCGGGTTCTTCATATGCGTTATTTCGGTTTTCAACCGAAACTGTGCATATATACATTATTTCGTTTTTGTTCATATGCATTATTTCGGTTTTCAAACGAAAGAGTGCATGTATGCATTATTTCGGGTTCTTCATATGCGTTATTTCGGTTTTCAACCGAAACTGTGCATATATACATTATTTCGTTTTTGTTCATATGCATTATTTCGGTTTTCAAACGAAAGAGTGCATGTGCATAATTTCGGTTTTTCTAATATTCATTATTGCGGTTTTCAACCGAAACTGTTAATATATGCATTATTTGGGTTTTTTTCGTATGCATTATTTCGTTGTTTTTCAAATGCATTATTTCGTATGCACAGTTTCCATATGCACAATTTCAGGGTGCCAAAGACAAGAACTCACATAATTTCTTCTTCTTTCAACAGCGGCGCTAGATTCGAGTTAATTCATGAGTTGATTCTTGCAACCCCTTAGCAGCAAGCAGCAAAAGTCTGTGTCAAATACAATAACAACACACCCCAAAAAAGAAATGAAAGGAGGGAAAGGAGAGGAATAAGTAAAGTATGTAGCAGTTCCAACACTAAAACAGCTGGCATTTATCTTGATACGCTTTCTTGCAAAATATATACATGGGATTAGACGTTGCATATTCTGCGTTTTGTCCTTGTGTGTTTGCAAGTTATGCAATCTGTGCAACGTGCAAGGGCTTTGCAAGATTTCGAGAATACCCCTAATATGTATTTCATATCATAAAATGTCATTTTTTAATTGTGCATATCTTTGACATTTGCATCATTTCGAGAGAGCATACTTAAAATGCTAACAAACGTCAAAAAACCCAATGGGGGACGAATTGAGCGAGCGGTTGTAACTTTAGATGTTTTTATCAAGCACGAATGTAAGTTGTATACTTATACATATGAACATACGTATGCATACATTACATACAATTAAAATCGGCTGAGAAAAATTACTTACCACTTAGCAAGTCTGACATAGTTACATCATGAACTTCGAAGTTAGCTTTTATCAAGGATGCCATCATTTCTCGGTCGCTATTGACACCTTCTTCGCGTATTACAGCAACCGTTACAACCTTCGTTGGCCGATACACAGTCAGTTCCACATTAAAATCAACATTGCAGTGGTAACGTGGAGCGAAACGATAATTCAGCGAGTTATATTCTTCTAGGGCACAATCTGGATTAGCTTGCAACTTTTCTATTTCAAAGCTGGTTCTTTCCCATTGTTTCAACAGTGTTTGCACATCGCTTTGAAGTATGATGTCGGAATGATTTTTTATGCTAATAGTAGATTTTAGACCATGGCCAGATGTTACTCCTAAATGGTAGTTAGGTACGCCACTATAATTGTATGAGGCTTGCACTTCAGGTAGTATGCTCATTGGTACTTCAATAACCCAGCCACACTCTTCAGCATATAAGATAGCTAATTCTGGTTTACCAATATCTTCTGCGGCTTTATCGATGTGGGCATCCTTCAACTGATCCATTATATTGCTTAAATCAACTTGAATTCCACTCAAACCCCCAAATGACATTTCCAATAGGCATATTAAGAGACCACCATCACTGATATCGTGGCCAGCAAGGATTTTTCGTTGTTGCAATAAATTTTGAGTAGTAACAAATGCTTTCTCCAGAATATCACTTCGTAACACTGTCGGACACTCGTCGCCCTGCTGAGAGTACGCTTGAGCTAGTGCAGATCCTCCCAAACGAAACTTGCCTTCGATATTTACCCAAACAAGTGCCGTTTGCTGAGATATCGCGGGGCCCTTTAAATCCGGTGTGACTTTCACGGTAATATCTGGACAAGGTGCGTACGTCGAAATAACGAGAGTGCCTGGCGATTTTACAGTTTTGTCGCGGATTTTCGCAGCCATAGAAAGTGAGTCCTTTCCTCCATCGATTGCTATGCGCAATTCTTTCATAATGTCACACATTTCCTTGCATGCGTCATATAATCGGGCGCCCTCTCCCGGCAATTTCGCTGCCCACATCCAGTTTCCTGAGCATTTTACGTCCGCCAACTCGGTAATTTTTACAAACACTAAATTGGAAAGTGCCTCAGCTACGCACATACGCGCCATAGCAGCTGAGCTTAAAAGACCTTTTATAGGCTGCGTGCCAATCGAAGTTGCAATACCTTCATTACCAAAGTACGAAACTGCAGTCAAACCGTAGTCAGCTAAGGGTATCTGTAAAGGCCCTACGCACTGTTGCTGCGCTACAAGACCTGTAACACACCGGTCAACCTTGTTGGTAAGAAAACGTTTGCTCCCAACCGACAGTTGGCGTAAAACACACTTCAAGCAATAGTCTTTATCGAAATTTCGATTTAACAATAACGGCTTCAGCCTTTTTTGAATACGCTCCAATTTATATTCTCGTTTTGGCATTTCCCCAAGCACATGCTTTAGCTCCAAATCGAATGGAATGGCGCCCAATGAATTAAAGTCATTAACCAATTTCAGAGCCCGTTCAAATTGGGCTGCACTTTCGACCAAAGTCACTTTTCCATTTCCAGTAACAACGCCTACGAAGCTGATTGGGCAACGCTCTCGTAAGCAAACTTCTTCCAGTAACTTACGACGTTCAGGTTTGCAGAGCAGCGCATTGTTTTCTTGATATTCTGCCCCCCATAACTCTAAGACGTTTATTGTAGGATCGCCTAGCTGAAATTCTTTGGAAAATATAACGGCGCCAGCAAAACCAGGTTCCACTAATTCTTTTAAAACATTACCATTACCTCCAGCACCCTACCCAGATTTTTAAGTAAAAAGCGAAATTATAATTGAGCAGATCTACGTTATCAATTAACATTTTACCTGGTCGTGTATTGCCAAGATCGGATTCTCGTCTCCCATTTCAACGCAAGCGCGCACAACACGATTTAGTTTGTTCTCCATTTCGGCATCACCTCGTTGAACCGCATTAAAATCGAAAGCAGAGTCGCTTGAACCTTGTACTTCTACAGAGCTGGCAGCTCCTCCACCAACTCCGATTCGATATACTGGTCCACCTATTTTCACCAGCAACATTCCTACGAATTTTAGTTGTAGTAAATGTAAACATTTTTACTAATTTAATTACCTCTTTCCGGATGATGTTTTTGACGCATTCTTGAATCCATAATGCCCATTCCGCCACTAAACATTATAGGTTTAACATATTCTTGGCGTTCACCATTAGAATCTTGAAGACCATAAGAAATTGCGAACCCGGTAATTACAGGCTCACCAAACTTGTTGCCATAATCGGAAGCGCCATTGCTTGCGTCAATTAGAACTTTAAGTGGTTTTGCAAAAGAATTAGGATATTCGAAATTGTTTTGCTCGTAAGGTTGTGCGTACCCTGTGATCAATATTTAGAAATAAGAATAAATTAATTATGCATAAAAATACGTATAACATTTATAGCTCAATTCTGTATCGGTGTCAAAAAATTGTTTATTGACAAATTTAAACTTTTTCATATATTTTTCCGTAATGAAAACTGTGGCAAGAATTTGCCACTGATATAGAATAGAGCCGTTAAACTAAATTCAAACGCAAATATGTCCATACATAAATTTAATACTACACAAAGCTTAAATTAGTTGTGACATATCATAACGCCATAAGGCTCAGTTATGCATACTGTGCACTGCACTGCATAGCATGTAATTTTACGTAGAAATCAAAAATCAACAGACTTTTACATATGTAATGCTGCATGGGCGTACGCAGGTACGGGATGGGGGGCGAAAGCGCCCCTCCCCCCTTAATTCCAAAGTTTCATTGTAAGTTTCTTTCTATGAATTCATAATCAATTTCCAATTAAAAAAATGTATCCAATTAATTAAAACTTTGGGTGTCTCCACATCCATTTCGGTAGTTTTGGTAAACTCCTGGTTGTTCCTCGATAATTTTATCAACCGTGAACGTCCTTTTCAGCTTAGGTTTGTTAGTCTGCTAAACAGTCATTTATTTAAATAAAAGGTAAAATAATTATTATCTTTTAATATTTTCTATTAGTTTGTATTTGAATTTAGGTTTAGATATGCTTGGCGTTCACAGAGGTTTTGTAAAAAAACAAAGTTTTTAGCAAACAACAAAACTGACTTCAATTCTCATGTAAAACTTTACCGTTAATTCTTTCATGGTCCAATAATCGGATCTAAACCAAATTAAGACGGGACCACCACTCTGGTTTTGGTTTCTATATACAGGAGTGTGCTCTGGTGAAGTCCAAGACCTTGTTTTAGACCCAGTGTGCATCCACAGGCCTCAGGCATCCCCTACTAAGAAGTATTTGCGGTGGTGGGTGCGGTTTTCATCTGCTTTGTACCTCCTTTGTAACTTTTCCCACCGTATGAAATCTCGTTAGTGCCGAAGCTTTAATCGAGGCGAAGGGGCTGGATCAAATTGGCATTTTTTTAGAAACTCTGTAGTCCTGTTTTAGGGGTGTTGAAGTTGAAGTTTTTCCTTTGCATCTATAACGCTTTCCTCGAGTGGTAGAAAAGGGGGTCGCCCGCCCATGAAAAGAACCGCTGTAACAGATAAAACTTAATAGCTCGATATATCGCCTAGTACGCGAAGCACTTCGCTCGAGAAGAGGCCTTGAATAACTCTGGCTAGCCACGGGTTATATAATCATATAAGCAGTAATTGGGTTTTCACAACAGAGGATGCAAAAACCCAAACGACTTGACGGTTTGAGATATTGAGTAAGTGCAGCCCGATCACCTCATCAGTGGAGTGTATTTTTGTCTCCTTTCATATAAGGAACTTCAAATGTTTTGCTGTTTTGGCCGATACCAAACAGCTTCGTCAACTGCCTCTTTTTCTTTGCGAAGTTGTTATAATTGATCATAGGAAGACAGGAGGAGGAGAACAGGTCCTTCTTCTTTTGATGCTTCTATAGTGTTCGTTCGCGCCATTGCTTTTACTCTCACCCAAGGAGGCCGAATCGAAGTTTATTTCAACGTAGCGTCAGGCTCATACAGTTATTTCTCTACGTGCCCCGGTTTATGCGCTGTATAAAAAGGACTGGCGTCATGAGGGATTGGTAGAGCGTGATATTTGTACGTCGAGAGGTGCCTCTGCGTTTCAATTGCCTGGGAAAAAATCTATGTAAACATTGCAAAAAATTTAAAACCATATATGTATATATTGCATGAAATAATAAATTTTGTGTTAGGCGCCTAATAAAAACTTGTTTACGAACATTCACACTAAAAAAAGACAGTAATATCCCTCCTCTAGTTTTATATTTGGTCTTTTGAATTATATTTACTTTTATTTTTTTTGTATATACATATTTTTGATCAAATATTTGAAGAAATAAAACATCCTTCTTGTATTATATACAAATGCATGTCCGAATTTTTGTATACCTTAAACCGTTTTGACCGTCTACAGACGGTCGAAATGTTTTTACACCTAGCGTACGTATTTTTACAGGTAAATTGAAACTGAGTTTGGAACATTGCTCAGAGTTGCCTAATTACCAACATCTAAAATTATGGGTGATTTAAAATCATTATTTAAAAAAAATGGTTGGAGGGTTAAGGTAACTAAAAAATTAATATTTTCACTCATCAATAAGTTCATAATAAACTTTATACTGTGTCTCCACTGAGAGATTTACCTATTAAGATTTAATAAATCCCGTTGCTAAATCACAATCGTCTCCATTGCTACAACGAGATATATTTGACGTTCACATTTTTAAATATTTGACGTTTGGTTATGTATGATTTTATAAATACATCTGCGGACATGGAAATACAGACCGATAAAAGAAAGGTACCAGGAGCGGAATTTCATTATGCGAATTATGTGAATATTATTGCCTTCTTATTTGTGGTAAATATGTCTAATATATAGTTTGAAAAATGTAATACATGGTATCGTATTCAATTGCAGTGGTACCAATAGCAATATTTTTACAGAGATGCATGGAAAGCATATTGGGGGAATTAAAACTCTATTAATATAATTTTGGGAGCAAGTAAAAAATAGGGCCCGTTGAGCTAAAAAAAAGAAAAAGTGAGCATGGCCGGCGGGCCATGATTTTAATGGAATAAATTTTTTTTGTGCAAATTCATAGGACTGGTGCTAGGGAGGGTAAACGTGAAATTTTCAATATTTTCAAAAGCTTATATTTTGAAAAGTTTTGAACCAATTTTCAAAGTATGGATATGGTTGGAAAGGTAATTAAAAGTCGTTTGATTTAATATTTAAATAAAAAATATTTTATTAAAAGTTTGTTTTCCTTAAAACATACGTAATTAACTATATTAAAAGATATGCAAAAGATAAGAAAAAATACAGAAACACCTTTAAACATATGATTTATAATAAAAAAAATTTTTGGTAATATCACTAAATATTGAAACATAATTTTATATGTTAAAAGAAAAAACGCTCATTCGCAGGCGAACATTTGGAAGAAAATATCGCGCTATTTTTTATTCAAAATTTTCATTTTATATTAAAATATCAATGCAGTTGTTTTATTTCGCTGTAGGAGTTGTCCTTAAACCTAACTATATAAAATGATATATCAAATTAAAGATATTGTTATGCTCTTTCTAGTAAATATATCGTTCGATATATGTAGTTAACTACGTATTTTTCTTTTAAATAAAAACATACGTATTTTATTTACATATTTTGGCAGATATTGTATTGAAAATTAGGTCAAACTGCAAAGAGCTTTAGTGTCGACTTAATTTGGACTACAAATATACCCCAATAAGTACGCTAACGTCAAAGCTGTGAAGCTGTGTTTATTGTGATCTGTTTAAATTTTGTGTTTTATAAAGCTGTTTACGCTTAATAAAGTAAAAAATTAAAAAAAGTGTGAATAAACTTCTGATGCGCAATTTAAAAATAAGTAAAATATCAAAATTTCCTGTAAATTTGATTAATTTAACTTGATATTCTTAATTGCATGTGTCGAGTACTTTGTTTAAAATAATATATTGTTGTTGTACAATTGTTTTAGTTTGTGCAAATTGATTTTACTCTTTTTGTCATTTCTGCTGTTTCATCTTTGTCACAGCTGCTTGCGTTGTGTTTATTAGGTGTCAAATATACAGTGTATTTAAAACTGTTCGCTACATAGCTTGCCAACTGATATTTACCAGCTGATTGGTTCTCTGATTGAAACACCGTTTTCAAAACTGTTTTGCTTTTTTGCTTCTGAAGCCTATAAATAAATATAATTTTAAACATGTCGTGTATTTACACCAATTGCCACGTTAAAAGCGACTCCTATATATCATGCTGGCTCTGCGATGGGATTGCCCATATAAAATGTGCTGGTTTGAGCGGTAGGGTGTTAGACGCTATTAATGAGGGAAAGGCTCTTCGTTGGACTTGTCATAAATGTAGATCAACCGAAGTTGATTTATTTAAATTCTTTAGGCAGTCCAGAAATGGTTTTTCTGAGATCGGGAAGGATCTGTCGGTGCTTGTTTAGAAATTTAAGCATTACGAAAAAAAATGTTTAGGTCTTCACATGTCTCGACAACCCTCCACACTCTGAGGATAGCCGAGAAAATAAAGGTGGGCGTGTTATTAGTCCACTTAAAAAGATAGCCACTGAATCTAGTTAGAAAAATCCTTCATCCCAGTCCTGGGAACTTATTAATCTTTCTTCTCCATGCCCTCAGGCATTGGAGCCTCCGCTATCTAAAGCCATATCCACTAGGTCTATATCTAAAAATAATCAAACCGGCGATTTAACAGTGTTGCCATCAACATCTAAAGCTGCACTGTCTAACTTAGTTCCTCCGAATAATTCGGAATCCGGCATATCGGACATCATTACCAAAAAGTTGGTTGTAATTCCTCCGAGAAGATCAATCTTTGTCTCTAGATATGCTAAAGACACTTCTTCGGATGATATAATTAAAATTTAATTTTAAATACGATCGCGATATTTCGTCTTTTAAAATTGCTGTAGCTGCCGAAGATTTTGATTCACTACTAAATAATTCATTTTGGCCGACCGGGGCGTTTGTTCGCGAGTTTGAGTATAAACCTAATAAAACTAATAACAACGTAGCTAAATTTTCTAATCTTAATTCTAATTCAAAAAACTAACTCGCAAGTCTAATTTAAGTATTTACTATATTATATTTAAAAGGTTTTGACTGCAATTATAATATTATTTCCTTGACCGAAACATGGCTCAAACCTCATATTTTTAATTCCGAAATTCTTCCAAATGAATATCAAATATACAGGAGATCTATATCTATATCTATATCTATATCTATATCTATATCTATATC